ACATTTTATTAAAATCTAATGCCAAAAAGCTTTGACTCACACATACGCGTACATATGCATGACCGCGGAGGCAACATAAGCAGGTGATATATGCAAACAGAGTATTCAGCCAATTATGCTCTTGCATTACTGTGCACTTTGCAGATGTATGTATGTATGTATGAAAGAAAGTATACACATCCCAATATACATATATATATATATATATATATATGCATGCCTCCAAACTCATTGCATGTGTATATTACATGACATATAAACTCGCTTTTAACTGTAATTAAGAAAATTTCTTTGAGTCAGCAGTCAAAATGAGGTCAGCTAATTTGTAGCAGGTGTTTTCTCGATTGTTTATGATTTGGCTTCATTCTTTGTATGGGTGTGTGAATATGTTTTTTGGTGTTTGTGCACGCCGCATTTTAAACAAAAGCCATATCAAAGCATAATTTGCGTAATTACTGCATATAAAGGTTTTAATTCGTTTAATTATTTTTGTTTATCCCACTGAATTGGGTTTATATGTTTATGTCGGGCCATTTGTACGACACAAACTATTTTTTTTAGAAAGAATTGTAAAAAATATGCATGTATATTGGTGGTTTTCACAAAGACTTGTTTTTAAATAAAAATCTAATTTCTTAAAAGAATCTGTGCATGACCGTATCTTAGTAAAAATTTTGATACAAATTCACTTTTACGCTCTAGTATTATATTCGACCGTAGACAATAATCAATCTCCATTTTTTTTCTATTACTTATTTCTTACTGGATTCCAAAAACAAAATGAATAAAAAACCTAGAAATAAAATTATTTTATCTAAAATTTTTTGGTCTACTTCAATGAGAATTTTCTGTTTGTTGGTGTGAAATTGTATGCGGATACACACATAGTCACGTTAATATATGTGTTTATTCTTCACAATGCGCACGCACATCTGGAGCTTACTGAAAATACACCTGTTTTTTAATATTTCTGCGAAAAATCAAAACTCACTTTCATTGAATATAAACACATGCAAAAACATGCATTAAGTTGTGCAGAATTGCAAAATGTTTTTTCTTAAGAAAAGCAAATTAAATAAAAAGAAATAAAATTAAATGAAATTTTCTGCTTCAATATATTTTTTATTAAAAAACTTAAAATTTAAAAGTTGTGTATAGATTAAAAGCTGATATCACCGTCATCCAAGAAATGCGATGAGTGGTGAAAGGATGAAAGAAAATGATTCCTGAATTGGTGAATTCTACCACAACAGTTATATAAACCAGCGCAAATTTGGTATTAGAATAGCGCTGTAGTACCAGATCTCCGCAGAAGAAAATTTATCAAGCTATATTTTTTATAGTAGGTGGACAACATCTCTCCAGTGTTTTTGACGTGCGTATACTCCGAGGAACTGGCATCGACTTGGACCACTATCTTAATTCAACGAAGATGTGCACCCGCATGCCCAAGGATTGGAACCTAACTCTGCTCTGTCCAATGCGTAAAAGGAGAGACCCCATGGTCTATGCCAATTACCGTGGTATGAGCCTTTCAAATAAAGTGTATAAAGAACTATCGAATGTATTGTGTGAAAGAAAAAAATCGCCGTAGACAAACTAACTCGCCAAATATTGGAAAGTCGCCGTGAAAAGAAGATTGTTAGACCCAGTACTTCGTCGATCTGAAAGGAGCCTTCAACGTTACCAAAAATAGCTGCATCTACGCCATTATGTCTGAATTAGGTATCCCAGCAGATTATACGATTGTGCAAAGTGGCGTTTAGTAACACCAATGCCTCCGTCAGGATCGGAAAGGACCTCCATGAATCGAACGATTTCAGACAAGGTGACACTTAATAATGTGATTTTCGTGATTTATTTCTGTAGGAAAAGATATGAGCTTCAGAGCGGCATAGAGAAGGCGCAATGTTCTAGAAGTATGCACAGCAGCTGGCGTACGCCGTTCAGTTTGGTCTCTTGTTGGCTTGAACAACCGTGACGTGAATATTGCTCTCACCAGACTTGATAAAGAAGCGAAGCGAATGAGTCTGGTAGTGAATGAGGGCAAGACGAAATATCTCCTGCCATCAAGTAAACAATCATCGCATTCTTTACTTGGCCCTGTTCACTGTTAATAGTCGAAACTTCGAGGTGATAGATAATCTTATCTATCTTGGATGCAGCATCAACAGAAACGGCTTAGAGATCTAATACTGTATCACTCTTGCTAACAGTTCTCACTTTGGATTGAGTTCGCAATTAGAAAATAAAGTTCTCTCTCGACGAACAAACACAAAACTCTACAAGTCGCTGATCTGTGCAGAAACGTGGACGTGGACGGTACCTAGACCTGATGAGTCAACGTTAGGAGTCTTCGAGAGAAAATTTTCGGGAACGATTTAAAGCCCCCTGTGAGGTTATTACGGCAAGTATTACAACGGATGGAACAATGAGCTGTATGAGATTTACAACGACATCATTATAGTCCAGCTAATCAAGAAACTGCGGCTGCGTTGGCGAGGTCATGTCGTCCGAACGGATAAAAGCATTCCAGCTTTAAAAGATTTCGATTTAGCAGCCGCAAGGGGAAGCAGAGGAAGATGAAGATATATTAACATCAGACGGAGAAGAACCCGACTGTGCGTGGTATTTATGATTGGCGCCAAATAGAGAAAAGAATATCGCTAACCTGTGGCCAGTAAAGAAAAATAATACTAATTTACAGTATGTTATTAAGGTTCCATACTTTCTCGGTGTACCAAAGCCAAAAAGTATGCTACTATATCTTACACTTCATAAAATATAAAACAATGTTGTAAAATTTAACGAAGGGACGCGTGTACTTCAAAATAAGCTACCTGCCATTAACTCAAGTGCAAGTGTGTGGCCACATAAGCACTTTGCCAAATTAACTGCGACAATTTTTAATTAACTCCACAAGCAAAATTACATCATTTTTATAGCCGCCACATAGTCGAGCATTGCATCATTACACGCTACACGATCACATAATGCCAGAGTAGATAAATGAAAAGTGACGAGCAAGTAATTTATCAAGTTGTAGTTATGAGCATGAACGTGTACTTAAATATGTATAATGTGTACGTATCGGGATTGGTAAATACCATACACACTGTTATTTGTATTTTCAGCTGCCCTGGCTGTGCTCGCAGCTGCTCGCTGTTTCGCTGCTTGTTATCCTGCCAATGCGTGTCGAAGTCGTAAAGGATAAGTGACACCAGCCTGGCACTACACTCACCTAAGTGCATGTGAGTGGATATTTACATATTTACATTCATAAATATATAGTAGTATTATATCCATATGTGCATATTAGAAGGTAATTCAATGTTTGGGTATGCATTTTTTAGCGGCAATAGACTCCTTTGGGACCAATTCAACACGAATTGTTAGTTTTAGCGTTTGTTGTACTTTTAAGGCTGTGTCGTACTTTTTAGGGTTGATGCAGAGGGTTTTATAGGGTACTAAATTGTTTGAGATTTTAAGAATTGGTTTGAACCACTTCCAGAAACTTCATAGACTCGTAGATATGCATTTCACTCGTTTACTTTAGGCGAGGGGTTAGTAGTTGGTGTTAGCGCAACAGGTTAGGCGGACAGTTGTGCAGGTAGTTATTAGAATTCCCAAGGAGAAATGTGGTCAACGATAACTTTGACTAATAAATAAAATAGTATGAGTTTAACAAGCTCTCAAAAAGTGAAGGAGCTTTTGACAAGCTTTGGAAAAATAGCCAAGGCAAATAACCAAGCACAAGCAAACTGCAAGTACTACGGCATATCCAAGTTGCAATAAAGCAGTTTCAAAGGCCGTGTTGGGAAAGTATAAACTGCTAGATCAGAAATATGGAAAAAGGTAATAACGTTAGATGTGTACTCAAAAGGTCAAAGTCAGAGTCTCCATATAGGCTATCAGCTGCCAGGGTCACAATATAGGAAGTGAGTTCAAACAGCGAGTACAGGCATTTAAACCAAACCGAAATAACAGTAGAGCTAATCTCAAAAGTATCAAGAACCACCCAAAGCCTCCACTGGCAGGAAAAAAGCTTCTCAGAGCGGTGGGTTAACTCCACACCACGACTTGTATGTGACAAAAGGTTAGTTTAATGACAGGGAAGAATGGACGGAGGAATGGTCTGATGGCTCTAAATGTCAGGCAGGCTGAAGCACAGTTGTTCTGTGACTAAGCTTTCAACCAAGGTAGGTCCAACTCAATAACTAAAACTTTGTATTGTAATAGAAAAATCTATCGAATTTTTACTAGATAGTCAAGCGGCAATCAAGGCTGTTGAGTGCGTCAACACAACCGAATTTTTTACCATACTCTGAGCTGGAACAACACGGAGGTGTCCACGCATGGTTGGAAGAAATTAAAACGGTTTACTAAATCAAGTGAAATGTTTGCAAAATTATAATTGAAAAGAAGTGGAAGCTGAAACCTTAAGTAACTTCTTTTGAGAATGTTTCGCACCTTTTAAGAGTAGGTTGTAGTATCCGGGGGCGGCAACATACGGCGACTGCTTAGTTTTGCAACGTTCATGCATTGGTTCGATTACTACTTCTTTGATTAGCGGTTGGGGGTCACTAGAAGACTCAGCGGTATCAAAATGGGCCCGTTTGGTGGCTCAAGAGAGTAGATGACCCCGGTAACCACTTTGACTAACCCACCTCGGGATTATCAAATGATAATTCATACAAAAAAATTAAAACAAAAATGAAAACAACAATTTTTTACACTGTACCCCCCAACATGAGTAAACTTCTTGCTTTAACAATTCGAAAATGGAAATTGTTGCGCACAACGTGAAGTGAAGCGCAAAAACCGGAAATAAAGGCTGTAATAAAGACGGAAGTTGACAGTACAGTTAATACGAACGAGGCGAAAGTACTCCACTTGTACATGTATATGTACGTATGTGCAGCGGTGTGTAAAATGAAGTGACAACCAATTTGGTCACAAAAACAGAAACAAAAATGAGGTAATAGTAAAAAAAAACTCACCTGTTGAGGAAGTCGGTGTTATAAAGTGCTCTGACGATGACATTTTGATGTTAAGCGATAGCAACGTTACCAGCAGAAATTGCACTGGTTGGGTGAGGGTACGTGGTGTGTGCAAATGTGTGATTGCAGCCAACAAAGTTGTTGCTATTGTATTGCTGTGACTGCCGTTTACTGCTTTGAATGCACTTTCCTTATGATTTCATGGTGTTGTCTGGCATTGTTGCGATGTCAAAGCGTTTGTCCTTTTGTGCTGTTGTATGGCAGCAGGTAGGTGTTTCTCTCTATTGGCTGCTTTGATTACGGATTTAACGATGTTTTTTCATTTGCTTTATAATGCGGATTTTCTTATATTTACTCTCGAAATATTTTATTTAATTTGAAATACTTTTTTATATTTTACTTCTATTTTTTACTAATATTTTGTGCCTAATTTTATTTGTCTAAATTTTCTTGCCTAAATTTTTAAACTTAATTCACCGGAAACTTTTTGGGCAAATTACATTAAATTAATTTAAATTAATTTATATATTTTCTTAGTATTCTATATTACAGTCGTTTTAAAATATACCATTAATTTGTCGACGCGTTCGTCAGCCATATCTTTCATACTCACTACTTGTTTCGCTAAATATCTTCTTAGACTACCCTACTTCTACTTCTTCATCGCCAGCATACATTTAACTATTTTTTATCACAATTTCTCCATTGTTTTGATTTAGACTGGTTGTTTGATGTGTTGTCAACACGCGATAATTACCACTCATGACGGCTATTGGGCTCTAAGTTCCGTTATGGTAGAAATCGCTTGGTTCGCCAGTGCAAATTTTTATCTCTCCTCCCCTACTTGCTTGCGTGTCCTGTTGTCTGGCGTGGCATATTTAACAAAGCCGCCGTCGACGGTGTAAATATTTGCATAAGTCACCATTTATGTATGTCGGTTGCGTCATTTGCACTTTTGACTTTATGTCATTAAAGTTTATTATTTATGATTTATGACTGTTTTGCTCTGTTTCCGCTTGGCTGTCGCGTCAATAAGACAACACTTGAGTAAATGTCGCTGCTTTGGCTAATTTTCCAACGCCATCGACAAATAACAGAAAAACTCTTCAGTCTGTATTGGTTCTCTGGTAGTTTTTTTTTTATAAATTTCCGTGAGTTGTTTTTGGTTTCTTTCCTTAATTAACTGGAATTGAAAAAAAAAAACAGAAAATAATTATTGATATTGTAATAGTCAAAAGTCGTTATTTTTATATTAAATAATTTTAATCAGAAATCAATTTTATTTCTAAAAATGTTCACAAAAATTTCTAACATAAGGCGTAATAATGAAAAAGAGACCATTTCTTACTGAAAAGTAAGGTGTAGGCAGCGCTTGTGCGATTAAAGCCGCATCAATAATAGCACGCTATTCGTTCTTTCTCTCCAGAGGTCGCTCTCATCCTGAAACTTCCCACTCAGCTGAGGTCCTCCACCTCCTCTGCTTCTACCAGCGTATATTGCAAAGAAAACTTTTAAAACTGGAATGTTACCATCCATTCGGACAACTCTGTAGCCGCTATCTCTTCATTCGCTATCTAACTTATAACTCGTACGACTCATCTTTCCATCGTCTGCGGTATGCGCTGTCACAAGCATCAAATAAAAATAATTACTCTATAAAGAGTCACGCTGTCTGAAGCCTCATTTGGTTTTGACTGCGCTTCTGGTGTTGCCCAACAGTAGTTTACAGAGCCATAACCTAGTTGGGTAGGCGAAGCTGATATTAGAAGCTCAGCATAGTCGGGTAATGGATCATCTTTCCCATCATCATCGTTTCGGTCTTGAAGCTTTCTGTGAGCCGTAACATTTTCATAGCATTTTCGTGCGTTACCCTTGTCGGTCAGCTTCTCAACTTTTCATACTCAGTACATCACGGCTATTCCTTTTCTTCCCTACAAATGCGTCCTGCGTCTTTTCCCTATTCAGCTCTCGGTCCCTATGCCACTTTACATGTGTTGTGGTCGGTCCTAAGGTTGGAAGGTAGGCAGTTTGACGGGCGTACGTTCTCTGCAGTAATGGTAAGAGATGTGTCGTCTGTCAAACCATGGTTGAGTATTTTTGGATTCAGAGACAGACAGGCAGCTTTGAGAATTTTATTGTGTCAGAATCTAGTACTACAGACAACCATATTTCGAGCCCATGTGAAATTATCAACTATTTTGCTGAAGATACAAAACGCATTCCTGATCAAATCGTCCTTCTTTCCCATTAATGTTGCACACCATTCATCCCGTTCTCAATCCCATTCATCGAAATTTTGGCCAGCGGTTAAGCCAGCCTTTATTTATACGAGGACAACAACCAGCTGGTTCATGCATCCTAAATCATAGTCTTTAATACGTTTGCAGTGATCGTAATAAAAAGAGGGATATTTTATCCGAGGCGTTGCCATACTTTTAACTTGATTTGATTTCTGCATAGCGGGTATTAAGCCCAGCGCACAACCTCTCTAGATGAGTGTAGCAAGAGTATAGTCAGAGTGAGAGCGAGTGTAATTGAGTATAGACCCGCGACTTTAACAGTATACCTAGAAGATTGTCTAGAACCCATTACATCACAACAAGTTGTGAGCTTTCCTTAATTTTCAGATCGTTAAACAGATGAAAGAAAATTCTATTTTTGTTTTGCATGTAATCAATGAATTATTAGGCGTGGAGTTTTCTCCAGATCTCCTAAAATCCATTCAGGATTTACTCTGACTATTATTGAATGAATGCCCCTTACTCACTTCAACATAGACATAAAAGTCAAATTTGCTAATCAAATTTACGCCTGCTGGCCTGCCGGCTTTGTCTTCAATAATAACTCCTGTCAGATGCAAAAGAGATTACGCATTTCAACTTAAGTTTTATTTGCCAATTGAGTTCCAATCTTATTGCACATAATAAAGCTATTTACTCACACAACTACAATCAGCACATTAAATTTATAGCCGAAAACACTTTAAATAGCTCTAAGGACAATAGTTTTTGTTGACATTAGTTTACACATGCCACATGGACATAATTGCAAGTACAAAAACAATATTCTTACTTTTGGTTGAAGAGGCAAATATTTAAATGCACACATACATACATACATGTGCTTGTATAGCCAGCTTTGTGCTGCTGAACAATGAATTTCCACTTTTATTCGTGCATTTGCTGCGCTTGGCATTGAACAAAGCTGGCAAAATTACTTACCGATATCTACAATAACCGCCAACAGCTACCAGCCGTTAGTTATACATAATCAAATTACGTAGTAGAAATTTCCAATTAAAATTTAATCTCTGACAGCTTCCCAACACTGGCACGCATTCGATGGAAGTGTGATAAATGGCAACTGAAATGAATTGCAGGCAGGAGTACAAAAGCAACGACTTGACGAAACAAAGGCACAAATGTAGATAATTCCAGTGGAAATTGAATTTGAGTGTGCCTTTGCATTATCTAACTATTTTCGCCTACAGCAAGTTAGCGTCTGGATTTATTTTATATCTGTGTACTACACGGCGTATGAGTTACGACACTCTCAAATGCTTAAGAGCTTGAGTAAAGACTTCAAAATTATGAAATAATTTTATTAGGCTTTAAGTTGTAGAAAAATGCAACACTTGATTCAAAAGAAAAAAAGTTAGCCTCCCCACCCCTTCTGCTCCTACCACAAAAGACGAAATAAAATTTTAAAATTCTCCCTTGAATTCGCGCCGCACAATAAAGGGATGTTGCTTGCGTGATTGCAACTTTTTACAAGCTTAATATTTGATATGCACTAACAGTGAAAGTAAAAAAGCATGTAAGTGTTGAATGAACAAGAAAATCGATAATTCGCCAGCAACCAACAACAATTTGTGGTTTCAGTAGCATGTTCAGTATGCGAAGACACACAAACTACTCGCAATGTGCGGAGCAAATATATATCTGATTTTCAATTATATAATCTTATATCAAATATACAGTCCTATTTATTTAGTTTTTTGCACATTCTTTAATAATATATAGCAAATGACTGTTGGCATATACATATATATATTGAATTATTTCTGATTTAATATTTTCACCACGAATTCCTTATTTTGAAATTTCGTTCGAAATTTCTCAAGTTTATTATAATTTCGGTTTTGCAAAGCATAGAAGTGCATTCTGTATGTAGTGGTAGTTATTATGAGAAAAGTTAAAAAATATGTATGTAAATCATTGCAAGCATTTTGACTCTATCGGAGACTAGCTATGTTTATGTTCGTGTCAGCATTTGTTTTTTGTTTGTGTACGCACTGATGTGTGAAAACTAAAATAAATTTGAAATTTAGCTTCAGTTTTATTATGAGCAATATCCGTAAGATGCTCTCTAAGCAGTTTTCGTCACGCATTTGATGTATTCTTTTTACAAATTTTTTATCAGAATTCTCCAATAAGAGATTCAATTTTGATGTTCAAAAAAAAAATTGCATTTTTTGAGATATATAGTATGATCGGATATTTATTTAACTTATCCTTTAATAATGAAAAACATTATTAGCCAATTGATCGTCAACGCCACGCTTACAGGACTATATCCTTACTTACGAAATATTCCATTACCAAATGGCAAAGTGGCTGCTGTTTGCCCTCCATAGCTGCACGAAATCCATCATTGAGGTCTTGAATCGTTGTTGAATTGTTAGCTCAGACCTTTTTTTCATCTGTTGCCAAAGGAAGAAGTCGAATGGTGTTAAATCAAAAGATCTCGGCGGCCAATGGCGATCACCTTTTCGAGAGATAATACGCTTCCCATACTTTTCCCTTGGAGGATCGGTGGTTCCGATTTTTGTGCGGTACGTAGCGTCATCTAGTTGAAATTAAGCGTCGTCCACAATCAACATTATTTATATCTCGTACTCGATGCTTCAGCCTTATTTTCGAAAAAAAAAAAATTTCGATGAAATTCTGGATAATTTTTAATGCATTTCAAGGACCCAATTAGCAACGATACAACGTTGTTGTTGATCGGCTGGCTTGAATTCGTATGCTAACTGAACTGCGTGAGGCTGAAGACTCAAGCCTATATGAAATATACGTTGTAATGACTTTTGTAGAAGCGCTAATACCAAAGAACGACGAACAATGCACAAACCTGGGTTTCTTCAACACTTTTCGCTAAAACAGTAGTATTCTCAATTGTTCTTGAGCCATGTGTACGTGTTGTCTCAACAGCTTCATTTTTTTTACCAATTTTTGTATTACGGTCCGTAAAGGTGCTTCAAGGCGACCGAAAAAGGTTTCAGTTTTACAAACCGTCTCTGTTGAGTTTTAACCAATT